TGTTCTGTAAATTTAGAACTGGAAATGCCAGACTTCCAATAGAAAAAGGAAGATGGTTAAATATAGAGAGAAGAAATAGAATATGCCATTTGTGTAATACTGAAGCTGGAGATGAATTTCATTATGTTTAATTGTCCAAATTTTTCAAATTAAAGAAAATTGTTTCTTCCAAATTATAATAGCAGGCAACCAAACCGTTTAAAATTCCAGCAACCTTTTTCAACAAATAACAAAGTTTTACTAGTTAAAATATGCAAATATACTAATATAGTAATAGAGAGAGTCCGTTCTCCTGGTTAAAACAGCACGTACTCTATCTTGAATGTACCCATTGTATATTTTCTTTATATCACATGCAAATTGTGGTTTAAAAGAATAAAATCTTGTCTTGTCTTGACACTGATCTGATCTACAATAAAAACCTGCCACATCTTATTTACTTTTGTGTTTGAAGTATTAACGAGCTAGTCGGTTGCTTAGTAAACACGTTTTAGATAAGACACATAACGGTGACTGAAGACAAACAGTTTCGTGCCAATCCCGCGTTCCAAGGTGCTAATAGGCATGTAGGCGACTGTCATAGTACTATGGGAAAATAACAGGTTGCGGTACCGAAAACAGGGAAAAGTAAATATTTTTGTGCTGATTAATTTGTTGATGTTATAGTGTTTATACCTTGCAACCGCTGAATTCTGGCATGAAGACAAACACGTATAATTATGATAAAATAATATCAAAATATGTTATATAAAGATTAGGATTTAAGTAATATCACAATATGATATTTAATAAGTAGATGAATATGGTTAGTTATAATAACGAAATAATAAACAATATGTAATATTATATGATGATAAATATGTTAGATTATGATTTAAATAATATCACAATATGATATTTAATAAGTAGATGAATATGGTTATTTATAATAACGAAATAATAAACAATATGTAATATTATATGATGATAAATATGTAAGATTATGATTTGAATAATATCACAATATGATATTTAATAAGTAGATGAATATGGTTATTTATAATAACAAAATAATAAAGCAATATGAAATATAATGTCATGATGAATATGTTTCATTCTGCATAGGTAATATCACAATATTTCATATGAAATATAGCTAAATGCATATAAAAAGTATTAACGAGCTAGTCGGTTGCTTAGTAAACACGTTTTAGATAAGACACATAACGGTGACTGAAGACAAACAGTTTCGTGCCAATCCCGCGTTCCAAGGTGCTAATAGGCATGTAGGCGACTGTCATAGTACTATGGGAAAATAACAGGTTGCGGTACCGAAAACAGGGAAAAGTAAATATTTTTGTGCTGATTAATTTGTTGATGTTATAGTGTTTATACCTTGCAACCGCTGAATTCTGGCATGAAGACAAACACGTATAATTATGATAAAATAATATCAAAATATGTTATATAAAGATTAGGATTTAAGTAATATCACAATATGATATTTAATAAGTAGATGAATATGGTTAGTTATAATAACGAAATAATAAACAATATGTAATATTATATGATGATAAATATGTTAGATTATGATTTAAATAATATCACAATATGATATTTAATAAGTAGATGAATATGGTTATTTATAATAACGAAATAATAAACAATATGTAATATTATATGATGATAAATATGTAAGATTATGATTTGAATAATATCACAATATGATATTTAATAAGTAGATGAATATGGTTATTTATAATAACAAAATAATAAAGCAATATGAAATATAATGTCATGATGAATATGTTTCATTCTGCATAGGTAATATCACAATATTTCATATGAAATATAGCTAAATGCATATAAAAAGTATTAACGAGCTAGTCGGTTGCTTAGTAAACACGTTTTAGATAAGACACATAACGGTGACTGAAGACAAACAGTTTCGTGCCAATCCCGCGTTCCAAGGTGCTAATAGGCATGTAGGCGACTGTCATAGTACTATGGGAAAATAACAGGTTGCGGTACCGAAAACAGGGAAAAGTAAATATTTTTGTGCTGATTAATTTGTTGATGTTATAGTGTTTATACCTTGCAACCGCTGAATTCTGGCATGAAGACAAACACGTATAATTATGATAAAATAATATCAAAATATGTTATATAAAGATTAGGATTTAAGTAATATCACAATATGATATTTAATAAGTAGATGAATATGGTTAGTTATAATAACGAAATAATAAACAATATGTAATATTATATGATGATAAATATGTTAGATTATGATTTAAATAATATCACAATATGATATTTAATAAGTAGATGAATATGGTTATTTATAATAACGAAATAATAAACAATATGTAATATTATATGATGATAAATATGT